AAGGACAAAGATATAAACCTTGTGGATTCTATTGAAAAATATTTGCTACTTCTTCTTAATTTAGACATACATATTGATCTACCTCAAATCATGTTTGACCATCTGAAGATGACTTTTTCATCTTCTCATAAAGGAAAGACATTTTTCATTCCTTATAGACGAGTTTTTTCTGAACTATTAATCCAACAAGGAGTTGTCATAACATTAGAGGATGATTCTTCTAAAATCTAGAGAGATAAGTTTGAAGCTATCTATGAGAGGTTCTAATGTTGGTTATCTATAATATATGCCTTATAACTTTTATCATCTTGTATTAAGCAATCTTTTGTTTTAATAAAAATTGTTTATGTTCATATGTTGTTTTAAATGTTATATGTGCATATCTTGTGTTGTTCAAAGAATCATAAAATTAGGATTAAACACTAGAAGAAAAAAAAATTATCATTAAAATATTGGTAGTTACATATCTGTCAAGAAGTTTTTAGACATTTGGACATGTTCTAAGGTAATTCCTATGATCATCTGACATCTCTAGATTATTCAAGTAGTCCTCAATCTTCCTTTGCAAACTCATAGCCTTCTTCTTATGGAGATTTCTGCGTTTTGACCTAGAAGTTTCTTTCCTTCTATGTGTCTCAACAAAGGTTGTTGTTGTTGTATGTGCCTTTGAAGAACTCTCCTTGTTTGAAGACTCTTCAATTGCTACATTCTTCTCGTTTTCTTGAGTTGTTGCTCTTATCAATGCCGCCTTTCTAAAATCTGTCTTTGAAACCAATATTTGTTTCTGCTTGTACATTTTTTAGTTTTAAGGATTAAGTGATTTGGATAGACAGTATGCTAGTCACCTTTTAGTGTTTATTCATCTGGTACCTAGAGTCTTTATTGTCTATGAGTTGATTAGTCAAATTAACTCTTGACTTTTAGGAAGCGAAGTATAGTATATAACCCTAATAAAGACTCTCTTAAACAACTGTGAATATCACTTAACAACTACTCGCTTTCTTTTTAAAAATCTTTTTTTTACTTCATTTATGAAAAGTTAGAAAATTAAAAAAAAAAGTAAACGATTGTACTCGTGCAAATCAAACAGATGGATTCCGTACTGTCCTAAAAGATTGTACTCGTGTAAAAGATTGTATATATGTTGATACTTTCAGTTATGGATTCCATACTGTCCTAAAAGGATGTTGATGAAAAAGACTTAGGGTCGGGTTACTTTTATAGTGGAGTCTGGGCAAATCAAACGGTTGAGTTGAATATTTTTCTTGATCTTTGGAAGTGTTGCGACCAATAACTATTAAAAATGCGTTGTACACACTTTTAATGCTCTCTATTACCTGAATAATTCATCTTCTTTAGGAACTGCTCAAGTAATGATGATTTATTTTGCATTTATAAAATATTTCATTTTATTTTCTTATTTTTGTTTTAGCATTTTATTTTAATCTTTTTGATGTAACAAAATGGGGAGAAAGATATAGAAGTATTTAAAGAGAATTTGAACCCCTCAGATTTTAAATGTTTATTTATTTTAAATATTTTAAAATTATGTTATTACAAGAGGAGAAATTCGGTCGCATTTGCGGATGGTCAGGGTCTCTGGCTCTGGAGGTGTTTGATGCTTCCCTCTCGCGCTGAGGAGGGGGACTCTGTCGTAACTGACGTTCTTTCCTCGACGAAGAGGATCTCGGACGACTGGACTCTTCCAATGCCCCAATCCTTGCGTTACGGTTGAGGATTATGAGGTTGGTTTTGTTGAGAACCTCGAGGAGGGTCGCCATGGCCAGGTCGGCGTTGGGCGGAACTGGAACTGACAGTTGTTACGGGACAAAAAGAACCTCGTTGTGATCTGTATGAGCGGGGGACGGGGAAGTAGTGACTCTGTCTCTTTGTCGGAGGACGTCGCCGCCACGAGAGGTAGTGGCCTCATCAACATCAGTCTTGCTGATTGGGAGAAAAACAGAGTTACGAGCATCAAGATTGTTGACACAAGCAGCCATGATCAGAACTTTGAAGAGTTGTTTTGGTCTTGTGTTCTACGAAGAGAGAAAAGACGGGGATAACAAGAGTTCCCAGAGACGGCGCCACTGATCTTACCAGTCGATCAAAACCTGAGATGAGCCAAAGACAAGCGTCTGTGATGCTGGGTGTGAAAGAGGAGGAGGGGTGTACCTGCAAGGCACTCCGATGCTAAAGTAAGAAAACGAGCAAGAGAGAGAGAGAGAGAGAGAAATTACAGAATATGAGTGTTTCAGGGTGAATATTTTGATACTTGACCCTCTCAAGTGAGAAGATTTTTATCGTGCCCCCAACGCTTGGCCATTGGTCCCTATTTTCGGGGCGAGATAACCGTTTCCCGAAGAATAGGTAACTGCCAGAACTAACCGTTAGAACGGACATACATGCTCATAACTAGCCGTTGGGACGGGCAGAGGTATAGTTATGGGTACAAGCCTATTGGCTATTTCTGGATGGTGGAACTGTGCGTGACAGGCAGAGACTGACGGAGAGAGGTGCAGTGACCAAGGGTAAATTGGTTAGCCTCCTCTGTTAGAGGGGCAGAAAGGTAAACTCACCATCAAAGAGGTTGGACTTAGGCAATTGATTCATTATGGGAGCAGAAGTCAATTGAGTCATGTCTAGCCATTGGGCCAGTTTGGAACAGAAAAAAAAATTTCTTGCTATGTGCCTGAGCATCAAAATCTCTTGCTGTGAGCTTGAGTCAAGCAAGTCTTCTGCCGTGTGCTTGAGCATTGAAGTCTTGATTAAATTGTTGATTAAGCAGGAAGTCTTAGACTGAAGGTCTAAGTAGGAAAGTCTTGGACTGAAGATTTAAGCAAGAAAGTCTTGGATTTGTGGAATCTTAGCAAGAAAGTTTTGTACTCGAGGGTATGAGCTGGAAGTCTTGAATATGTGAAATTTAAGCAGGAAGTCTTGGATTCGTGCAATTTAAGCAGGAAAGTCTTAGGCTGAGGGTCTGAGCAGGAAGTCTTAAATTCATAAGATTTAAGCAGGAAATTCTTAGGATGTGAGTCTGAGCAGGAAATCTTGTACTTAAGGTTATAAGCAGGAAAGTCTTAGAATCTGAAGATCTAAACATGAAGTCTTGATTAGGTGTTGATTGAGCAGGCAAGTCTTAGGTTGTAGGTTTGAGTAAAGAAAAGTCTTATGCTTGAGGGTATAAGCGATTGTAATCATGATTTAATTATAGTGAAAAATCTCTTATGCTTCAAGGGAATTGGACTACTCTCAGGTTGAGAAGAACCATAATTAATTTTTATGTGTTCATTTGTCGTTTACTTACTTCTGATTATTATTCTGCTGCAACTTATTATTAGAACCTGAACTATTGTTTAGAATCAGAACTCTGTTCAAAAGCAATGCAAATTGGAGAACACAATTCAACCCTCCTTCTTGTGTATTTTTCTCACTTTCATACTCCGCATATAGTTGATGAGGCGCCACCTACTGATGATGTGAAAGTTACTCCACCTGTTGAGACACATGTCACAGGTCCTGCTTTGACAGACCCTGCTTTGACAGACCCCTCTGTTTACATAGATGAGAGGTTTCTTGGTGAGCCCATTAACACTTTTGTTCTCACAGGATATGCAGACCATGTGGCCTTCAGGTTAAAGCAGAGAGAGGTATATATGATATGTTGATGATGTAACTTTATTTATTAATGATACTTTAAAATTAACTGGTCTTTTTTATTTTGTTTGTTACATGATTGTATTTCGCTTAAAATGTTCTTTGATGTCGTGATGCCATTGAAGGTGAAGACGATAATTTATGAGTGCAATCTCTTTCCACTGGTGGACAATCCGCTTACCGTGCTCGACAGTCAGCTATTGACAGCATTTTGTTGAGCGACAGCACAAAAAAACATCTACATTCCATCTTTCATTTGGTGAGATGACGATTACATTAGATGATGTCTCATCGTTTTTTTTTTTCAATTTTCACTAGTAGATAGTTTTTTCACCGTCCTTATCATAAATTAGAAGATCGCACGTATGACATTTGTATATTACTTTGGGATTTCTGAATAGCAGGTGATAGATGAGTTTAAATTTATGAGAGATACTCACTTTCGCTTATTTTAGCTGCGGGATAGGTATGGCAATGCACTACTCAAGGTATGAATAATGTATTGAGGTATGAATGAAGCAGCCACTAAGGTATAGGTCAAAATACTAGTTACTGCTAAAACAAACATAACCCACCTCTCCTTTTGTAGCTGATAGCCCAATGTTGAGGTGAATCCACTCTCTGATTTACTCTTCAATTATGTCATTTATGTCTGATTTACTCTTCATATTAGAATTAAACTTTAAACTTCAAATTTTTTTACCAACTCCAATTTATTCTCGCCTGTAGGAAATATTCCCTCTTTTTTATAAAAAACAACTCATTTTTTAAATTCATTAAATACTCAATATATTTAGTCAAATTATAGATTATACACATTGATCATTCAATACACCTTGAAAGTGAATTGTCTCTTATTAAAAGGAAGAGAGGTAATATTAAACATAATTTTAGCCGTAAGTGACTATGTTTTCCTGTGAGTTATGCACAGGAATTTTTGGATGCTGGTTAAGTAAAAGGTATGACTAGTTGGGCATGTGCAATAGGCAAAAGAATCTGTAATCCTCACGCCAAAAGAAACAGATCACATGCATTCTATACTCGAAAAGAGAACTTGCCAAATAAAGTAAACCTGCACAAGAATATTTCAATGAGCCTAATTCATTTGGTTGTAACTGTTTGCAAGTTCTGGTTGCATGTTCACACACTAATATAATAATAACTAACTTAGGTTGTTAAAGAAAAAATTGAACTTATGAATGAAATGAAACAACAATTTATTCCGAGATTTATGAAAAGTCACATGCATGTTTTGAAATAAATGTCTACTTTTGAAGACAGTAATGGTATTTACACAATTGCAATGATAATAAAAAAGATATATCAATTGAAAATGAGTATGTCATCTAAGTTCCTCCATTGCAGTAATGGATGCCATTGCTGTGTCCATTTTGGTACTTTTTATCCAGACTGTTAAGGCCCCATATCCGAATTGTCCGGTCATCACTGGCAGAGGCTAACATGTGGGGATTAGTTGGATTCCAGCTCACACTATTAACAGATCCCGAATGACCGGGCAATGTCTCTATTGGTTCTCCTGAGCTTCTGTGCCATATGTAAACCTACAAACATGGAATGTGATCACACTCAAGTTTAAGAATTTTATTTGGCAAATTCTAAGATGTAATCCTTCAAAGGATTGTGTTCATTCTCAGCGATGAATAAAGATCCATACCTGTGAATCCTCACCACCACTAGCAATGAAAGCTTGCTTAAGTCCACCAAAGCAAGACCTAATAATATACCTAGCGCGCTGATGACCTTTGTACTTGCCAACGAACTTAGGATCACCTTCAATATTCCATAGATCTATTTCTTGGTTCAAAAGATCAACCAGCAAGAATTTGTTATCCTTTGATAAAGAAAAGGAAGTTAATGTCTGATCTTCTTCAATAAACCTCTCAACCTTCGTTTCTCTATTGAACAACAGTATTGTATTGGGTTTACAAATACTAAGAATCACTTCCCCGTCATCTGTTATATCCAAATCAGAAATCTTAAGGGATTTTTGTCCTTTCCAAGACTCCACTTCTTTCCCATCTAATTCCCACATGCACATGCTCTTATCACTTAAGCTAGAAAGTATATGTTTCCCACCTGGAAACCATGTACAAGAGACTAGGCCAGCACCAGCTTTTTCATAAATTTGGAGACACTTACCAGTAGCGACATCCCAACGCCTAACACATTCCTCCACTCCACATGTGAGTAGCTCTTCATCATTAGGACTCCATGAAACAGAATGAATGGGTTTCTGGTGACCAGATAATCTATGCTTTATAGACAGCCCATTTACGCCAACCTTTAAAAAGAATACACAAAATTAAAATCCAAAACCCAATGTCGAGGGTTAAGTCATATTCTACATGTGTATACACATGTCTGAGTTAGCAATTATGTGCATTGATGAGTGAAGGCATGTGGCTGTGATTTGAAGGAAAAAATAATAACTAGGATTTCAAAGTTCGAACTGGAATTGAAAAAACATTTGATGTGTACACAAACAACAAACGAGAATGGTGAAAACAAATAGAAATTCCCAATAAAAAATTACCTCCCAGATGATTGTTGTTTGATCTTTTGATGCTGAAGCTAAATATTTTCCATTATTTGAAAATTTTACAAACCAGACTTCACCATCGTGTTTTTCTAATATCTGTTACAATATTTTTCAGGAAAATAAAACAAAATCAGAATATAGATACCACACAAGCTATATAGAAATTAGTGGCAGGAAGCTTGCTGTGTGAAAAACAGAGACAGAATTTTGTCCCGTAAGTATAAAAAAGAAGACAAATTATATTCCTTATCTCAATTTCATCCTCCCTAGCTTTTAGGGTTGGTTTTTCAGAGAAATTAGATTTAAAATATTATTGATGGGAGCCCTGATCTGTGGAGTTCTATATGATACAAATGTAAATGGAAATGAGTTTGCAACGAAAAGGCATTCTATAGAATTTATACTTTAAAGTTATTGAGTTCTTATTAGAGGAAACTTAACATTCTCAAGTGGAAAAGTAGGGTATGACAGGTAAAGTGCAAAAAGAGAAATATCAAACCATGGTATTGGAAAAATGCGACCTCCCTATCACTGAAATGTTACTTCAAGAATTGAAATTTGGAAAAGCAAAATAGATGCAAAATTTTCCTAGTGAAAACTTCAACCTAATCTTCGGGGAGATTTCAAATACATGCACAGAGTATCATTCCATCCAAGAGAGGATTTCGTCTAGTTATATCACTACTAATTAGTCAACTCACATGACCAACTAACATGTATTTACCAACTCGTTAAAAAAATCTATCATAATTGGATATCACCAACACATAGTTAATTGGTTTAGCCAATTCTTATTAGTCATTAACATTCCTTCTATGCAAAGATAGTAACCAAAAAAAAGAAAAAATCCCAGACCTCAACAATAATCACATCCATTTGCAAGATGCTGCAGTTTAGATCCACAAAATTCAGTAACTCGCATCGTTAACTTTCTAATAGAGAAAGAAGAAACAGGATAGCAGTGATACACATTACACAAGCTATGTAGCAACTTGTGATTACATTTAATTAACTCAATTTTTCAAATTATTACCGGTGTCTCTGTGTTAGTGTCGGGGTTGTGTTTGAGGTGTCCGTGCTTCATAGTGCACAAGCATACAACAGTCTCAGCAAACAATGCACCTTTAAACAAAAAATGTAAAGGCAATAGAAAGCTAACAGACAGAGTTCCAGAGTTCCAGTTGACAACAGGCAAATGAAAAGAGGATGCTATTACTGATTAACAAGTCAGCCAACAAGAAATATCCCAATTTCTTAACATCTACTAAGAAAACAAAAAGACAATGTATTAGAATTTAGTCATGTAACTTTCTAACCTGTACAGTTTTAGAAGGTATCAGATCTTTTCCACAATGATGATCAGAATATAATGACATCATATCCATTGAGTTGTGAAATGGGCAAGCCTCTTGCTGCAAGATAAGGGCTTGTTCAACCAGATGTTCCAACCTTTTTTCGGGTATCATCACTGTTGGAGGAAGCAGTTTCTGCAATTCCTCCAGAAGCTTTGACCTAGATCTCACTTTCACAACATCTTGCTTAAGTGTTGGAGCCACAATGCAGGAAGCAAGTTCCCGAATTCTACTACTATAACTGCAAAGTGGAGTAATCTCCTCCCTCAAGGTCTTCAATGCTTCCATAACCTTCTCCCTGTTAAGAAATTCAAAGAATTTCTGTTCCAATATCAAACACGACGCCGATCTAAAAACAGTTTCATCAGTCAGACCAATTTTACGCAATGTAGCTACACACTCATCCCAATTTCCATCAAGCACGTGCTGCGTAAACAGATTCACCCCAGGTGAATGCAAAGCTATACCAGACTCCTCTTCAAGACGCTCTCCACTCTTTATGTAACCAAGAGAATACAACGCCTTTGCAATTATTCTCACAAACTCGTCTCTCTTTATAACCCCTTTGGAACCGACAACCTGTTCGTCCTCTTTAGATGGAAGTGTTCGAGCCATAGAGTCACTAGACAACCCTCCTCCAACAGGCTCTACAGAAGATGATCCGTTAGACAAGCCAACTATACCGTTCGAGGAAAGCTTCATACGTTTCAAAGCTGGTTCTTCATCATCCACACCTCCCATGAAAAGTTCACCTCAGTCCATATATAACAATCTCAGCAATCAGATAAATAACACAATCAACAAAATGTCTGCACAGAAAATAGTCAATTAATCAAATTCATTAGAACAAAAACGTGTGTGTTTGGATTGGCAGGGGGACATAACAGAATTCAATTTGGTATAATTGATTTTAACAAATTTGTTTTATGTTTAAATACATTTATGTAGAAGCGAGTTAAACAACAAACTTCAGTGTAAAAATCATGTTTAAACTTAGAAGCTACATTTTCTAGCTTCAAGTAGAATCAATTCTAGAGCCAGAATCATTTTTACATTAGAAGAACCAAACACCACAAAATCACTCCTGATTCAATTCTACCCCTCTAGAATTGCTTTTGGCGCTTCCAAAAGTCAATCCAAACATGCTAAACAACAGCAGCAACAACAGCAACAATAACAAATACATCAAAATCAAACCCCGAATAAAATTTAAATCATCATACACATTCATCAAACTGAAACAAAGTATAAACACAGTAAAATAAATAAACAGATAAATAAATAAATAAAATTAAAAAACTTAATAATCAAAGCTACGTTGCTTCTAAGCACAATGTTTCTAATGAATTACATTTCTACACAGATTGCGTGATAGCGAAATCAAAATATTCATAATCTAAAAACCAAAACTAAACTAACAATTTACAAATAAATTAAACGAATAAATAATGCAATTACTATTAAAACAAATCAAAATCAAAAACAAAACTCCGCATTCAAAGAATCACCGGAAAACGATACGATAAAACAATCCGGCATCAGAGTTCACAGATCCGATAACTGAAAATCATCAAAAAAATATAAAGTGAAAATCCAACGAATTACCGAACAAAGAAAGAATCGATCGGAATCAAAGTTCGATTTGCGATTGCGATGGCGATGGCGATTTGCGAGTGAGTTCAACACGATCGATTCTTGTTCTTGATCATCTTCTTCTTCTTGTTATTGTTTGGAAATTGGAACCTTGGTTTCTGTTCAGTTAGAAAACCCACGCTGAAAATCTCAAACCTTCTTTCTATTACTCCAATGATATATAGATATAAACTATTATATTTTTATTTTTTTATTTAGTTATAATGTTATAAAGAAATTGTAAATGTTGGTAATTATTTGTTAGTATTATTATTCTACTGGGTTTGTTTCTCTCTACTTTTTTCTTTCTGTTATCTTATCTTTTAGTTTTGTAGGAAATGAATTTAACTTTTAATACTTCGTCTCCAAGTTTTTTGAAATGACAATTATAACCCCTCTGTTACAGTTTAGTTTGGTATTTGGAATATACCTTCCTTCCTTGTTAAACCATTACCTTCTATACGAAACTTTATGCATTATTATCTTCAATTATTATTATTGATGTATAATGTTCCATGTAAAAATAATGATGTTAAGTGTAAGCTGAGGGTGGTGAAGGGGCACATTTATAGGTGTAAGGTTTTAGGTAGAGAAAATGGGAATAATGGAGATTTTGAACTATTTTCGGTGACATCAATGTAATGTAAATGTCTTATCAATTGAGTGATTTTCAAATCAAGACAAAGGAATAGTATGAGGGAGAGGACGGAGAAAGTATTTATTTTATAGATGGTAAAGAAAAGGAAAGTGAATACTTTTATTTAGTTAAAGTTATTAACCAGGCATGTATTATTTCATTTATTACTACTAGCGTCCAAACGGGCACTCCGTGCCCGTTTGTCCGCTCTTTTATTGCGCTAACGTGCAAAAATATTAACAACGTATTTTTTTATGTATGACAAACTCCTCTCTTATATTTCAATTTATCCAAAATAATGTAATTTAGTAGTCACAATATATTAATGTTGTTTTACTCTCTTTTATATGACATTTTCGTTCTTCTTCCACCTCCCTCTATTGTGTTTCTTCTCCTTCTTCCTTAAACGCTCTGTACCTTCTTCTTCCGCCGTCCCTCCGTCGTTTCTTTCCACCGTTTGTCCGCTTTTTTTAATTGACACACATATTAAAATATAAACAGATATTTTTTAATCTAATGTTGTTTTTAATATAAATTATTTTTAATATAAACTTTGTGATATATTTCTTTCATGTGTATTTATATGTTTTTTTAAAAGCGTACGCGCAACAAATTCTAAAATATTTTATTTTCTTAGTTTTTGTTTTAAATTAAATAAATTGGCAACTTAAATCTTAAATTAGTAAGTATGACCTCTCTCAACAAAAAAAAAATAGTATATAAGAATTATTAAAAACCATGTAGAATAACTAATCTACATAACACAAAATAAAATAAAAATAAATCACGAATATTTTATTTGATGAGAATGTAAGTGGCCGAGTAAAACTACAATTTTTTATTTTACAAATAACTATTATTGTCTCAATTGACAATTATTATGTTTGAGAAAGTTATATGAAAAAAATAAAATTTCATTGATTAAAAAACAAACAACCAAGAGATTGATTGAGAACATAATTAAACATAAAATTTAACTAATTAATTTAAATTAGGAAAAATGTGAGATATATAAAAATTAAGTAAAAGAATTTAAATTTTTTTTTGAAATTTGTATTTTTGTTTCAATTTAATTAAAAGGCGTGAGAGGATATTTAAAAAAGAAGATAATTAAAATAATAAGTGGTTCAAGTTTTAAGAGTATTTATTACAAAAATAACTGCCCTATTTTCATACTTTTTTCAATGTATTTGTTTATAATTGGAAAAATAATATTAAGAAGCATAAACTTTTTCCAAAGATTCTTTTATTGATTTTAAGTAATACAATTAAAAAAAAATTGTAAGCAAGATGATTATAGTTGGTTATCATTTCGTTGTAACTGTCAGGAAAATTATCACATGCAATTATACATTGTGTAATGAGACAACAATTATATGGTGTGTAGAAGAATAAGTTAGAAAAATAAATAAGCGAGTGACATAAATAAAGATCATATAAAAGAGAGTAAAACAACATTAATATTCAAAATAAGTTTGAAAATTCAAGAAAAATTTTATAAACACAATATATTCTCATAATCACAATTTTAAAAAACAGTAAAATCATTTCCAAAATAATTTTGATGATTACAATAACATGATACTATATTCTACCCATTCAACACGACAGCTAGTGAAATGAAAATTATAGTTTAATACGTACACATTCACTGTTGTTCAAAATAAATGAGTATACCAGAGAAAATTTGCAAATATTAAAACATAAATGACGACTGACAGTTTCATAATTCAGAATAAATGAGTATACCAGATAAAATCTGCAAATATTAAAACATAATTGATAGTCACACACATATAAACACAACTCAAAAATTCAATAGTGAAAAGAGAGACAACTTACAATCTAAAGATTCAAAATTGGTGTGAAAGAGAAATTTGTGGTAACTACCAAAGAGAGAAATGATTTGCAAGTGAAAGAGAGAATTTGGCAAAAAATTAAGATAATTAAGTAAGAAAAATAGAAAACATAGAAGTTTTAAATTGAGAAATTAGCAGTTATTACGTAGAAGTTTTAAATTGAGAAATGAGTGGTTATTATTTAATTGGTGTATTTGGTAGTTTTAAAATAACAGTTAAAGGGCATAATAAGTAAACATAAAAGCTACACCAAACCATTGTTATTCCCTTTATATTGTTATAGATTATAGATAAATATAAAGTGGAGAGAATAATAATTTAAGACTAATATATATGATACTAATTATTATAATATATAATTAAAAAAATTAAAATTAAATTATACTCTCTCCTTTATTCTAAAAAAATATATTTTTTAATATATTAAATAGCATATCTGATCTATATATAATTTAAATACACTAATTATTTAATGTATTAAAAAAATAATAGTTTTTTTTCTTATAATAAGAATTAGATGAAGTATTTAAAATTAAAAAGCATATATACTAGATTATTTATTTTTATAAGTATGAAGGTTGTTATGAGACGCAGTTAATTTATTGCATCAAATAAAATGCACAATAATGTACCAAGCCTAATTTTAATAAGAGAGAATTTAGTTAACTAATAGTTAGATAGAATATGCGAATATGGAATTTTCTTTCAGAGATCTTTAAGTCAGTTTCTTTGCATATACCTTCAGTATTATAACAACTCTACATCTCTATTATCGAGAGTTTTATTAAACTATAAATCAACTAATACTATGTTAGAAAGCTGATATCAAATGAACTGTCCAAGCTTCTTATTTATAGAATTTATGAAGGTGGTATAATTTGTTGAGTGAGGGATAATTCTCTTAGGCAATTCTTATTTTTGGGCTTGCTTATCCTTGAAGTCTTATAAACCACCTTAGCTTGCCACCTTAAAATGGTCTTGATTTTCAGTCATGTTTTGTGTTTTTTATTCGATAATCAAGCTAAAATTCGTCTAATAAATTTTTCCATGACTTTTGACTTATAAGTCTTGGGTCAAATGATTTTTATATAGTTCAACAATTGACCTCTTCAACTTTGTTTTTCAATCTTTTTATCGAGTATAAAATAGGATCAATGTCACGACAATTCTTAATTTAACCTAAATTAGGGGATTTCAACATTGTTTCGTGTTTAAGTAAACTATTAATGTGTGGTAATAATAGTGTTAAATATGTATTATACACACTTATCAAAAACATGTTTAAACAAAAAATAAAGGAATAAAGTAGGCAGAAAGATTAAAGTTTTTTAAAAAAGAAAAAAAATCAAATAAAAAAAATACCATGTATAGTTGTTCAGACCACAATCAATTTGCTCTCTCTAATTTCTTCTTAATCTCGTATAGGATAACCTTGTTAGGTGATTTAACTTGACCATTGATTTGTAAGTGTTCAACTGATACAAACTCGGTTTGAGTTCCAAGATGTTGGCAAAAATCACATACTGTAGGGTTGGCGATTAAGTCTCTTTAATTGAGACAGTGCACTTTGCTAAAACAAACCTACAAATTATTTATTTCCAATAGAGACGCCT